AGAGAGAAATAATCAGAGAGGCGATACGTGGCCACCGGTGATTTCAGTCGGCCGGTAGGTCGATCCAGCCCCAGGATAACCTGCCGATGAACCGTAAACCAGGAACTTATTACCAAGCCGTGTAGCTCGCGCTCCAACTTCGCGGATGCTTTATTATTACGACTACCAGCGACGTGTGTGCAATCGTGGCGGATGTTGCACGTGTTTCTAGCATCCGAACGACACGCCACGTATGGGTAGAGAGAATGAGAAAGATAGAAGAGCTTATTTGCACCGAGGATGAACCGACTCGTGGCTGCTGCCTCCTAGGGTTTTTAATTGGGAACCGAAGCCAGGGATATAGGGGAGAGATTTGAGATTGGTTTAATCGGTGGATACTTGGGTGTTTTCTTGCGTGCATTTTGATGAAGGATTTTTTTTTTTATAGGAATAGGTAAAAATTAATGCTTCGTTAGAGCACTGTTGGAGATGATCTTTTGCTCGAATAATGGAACAGAACTCTATACCGATATATTTTGAAATTTTGAAGTCAAGTTTCTATTCATAATCGTATCTCCAGGTAATAAAAGTTTTCCTATTATTCGTATATTCGCATTTAAATTGAATAATAAAAGTTTCATAATATCCACAGAGATCGAAACAGCGTTCCAGTAAAAATCGAAGATATTTAGAAGAAAAAAAAAAATAAGCCTGTACAGATATAATTTTAAGAATTCATATTTCCAAGTAATGAAAGTTCTTCGTTTATTTGTATATTCTAAATCAAAATATTGAAAGTTCCATAACACACGCATAATATTCAAATGGTATTCCACTTAAAAAATCGAACTTTTCATTACTAAAATCGTGGCGATCACATTGACCGCGTGTACGTATTCTTCTTGCGGCAAAAGCTTCTTACCAAGATCTTATTATTATCCATATCGGTGGAATCGTTGGTTTTTGCCAGTTGAATTACCAACCAATGCAAGCCGGGGAATTACACCGGTGCATTAGCTGCAACCGGGTTTATTGCTCTCGGTTAACGACCTGAGTCGAGCCATGAGTAATAATTACGTTCCTACATTTCTTTCCGCGATTCTATACTGTCCCATTGTTGGTTGCTGGGGCCAATTTTCCTCTATATGCCCCACAAGAACCAGACTTCTGGGTCGAAATCTACTTTCCAATCCGTCGATTTAATTATACGATAAATTCAATTCAGATACGATTCGTATTGAGTGGCAATTCATATTGATTTCTATGAGAAATGAAATGTATAGTGAAAACAGCGTCACGAAATGACTGAAAGATTATTATAGTCGATAATTATATATTGAGCATAATAACAATCGTATAAAACTAAGCAGAATCTTAATATTGATGTTGCAAAATGTTGCAAAATAATTTCATGTTTCTTAGAGTATTCGTAATATCGCTTTACGATTCGTTTTTCTGATTGGAATATTTAATTCTTATACAATCTTGTACAGGAGAAAAAACTAGAATAGTCTAGATTTTATTTTATTTTATTTTTATTTATTATTATATATATATATATATGTATGTAAGATATCAATGAGAATATTCAGTTTTATTCATTCTAAAGTATTTTTACTTAACTTTTAACACATTATAATTCTACAAGCTTTTATTTTTGTTTTAACAATATTCAATAAGAGTAAAGATATTATAAAAATTGTTATGAAAATTTTGTATTTTATAGTATCATAAATTTTTTTTCCAAAAAATAAAGTATCATTTGCATACGAATTATTATCATTATGCACAGTCATTTTGAATTTACATAAAAATAATTACAAAATAATGGAATAAAATCCAAAACGATTTTTATTTCATCAAAAAATCTCGCCATTGGAATTTTTTCAATGTCGAATTTTATTTAAAAAAATTTATTCATCAGATGTATATTTCCAAATAAAATTTTATTATCAAAAAAAAAAAAAAAATTTCAATATTTTTCAAGAAAATAGAATCTTTCATCGATCTTTCGACATCACGTGGCTCGTTAATATCTTTTTCGAAGATAACATTTCGATTTCTCGAGAATGATGGTATTCGAAAGCGAAGAAACACGGTATAGATCGGTGGCTGATCTTAGAACTAATTAACAGATATATCAGAGTTGTGTCGTAACGTAGAGTGTCGACTAGTTCGGATTTCCGTCCCTGGACCCTGTTTCGATCGTTTAAACGAGCGGGCCGATCATACATCAGCCGGACCCCGATAATAGGGACTGATGCGGGATTTACTGCTAATAGCACGTCGAATCGGTAATCGGTCGCGTATTAATTAATCAAGAGAGACCGTGACAAGCTGCGTGCTTCTTTTTTTTTTCTTCTGTTTTTCTTTTGTGTCGAAATGAAAAAAGAATTAATGAAGAATAAAATAACGAGAAATCTTTCGAACGAGTAAAGTATATAAGCGAGAATGAATTGAAATGAGTTGAAAATGGATTTATACCGGTAAATTTTAAGTAATTTAACTTAACCTATAATAGTGACGAATATTTTTATGCGCATGTGCTAGAAATTTATAAATGATATTTATTGAATTGCTAATATGATCACATTACTAATTCTTTTTTTAGATATGTTAGTTTCTTCTGAAAAATATTATTTCTATACATGATAATAACTAAAGAAGATCTAATAAATAATATATGTGTAAAATGATTATTATCATTGTGATAGTGAAATAGTTCACAGATAAATTTTTATACTTGTCATAGGTTAATTTAGGTTAGATTGATAATATTGACGATACAATTTGTAATTTTAATATTTTTAATCCAGTTTAATCTTTTTAAAACTGCGTATAATCAATAATATTATCAATATTTATATTGATAACAAATTTTTAAAAAGATTGATTTGAATTCAGTTATTATTATCGAATAATATTATTAATCGTGTACGAATTTATGAATTATACTTAAAGATGCGAATATAATTTGAAAATAAAAATTTTTAAAATTTTTCAGAAAATATTTTTCACGGATAGATACTTGAGTGTAAAATAATTTTCACTTGTAATTACCAAGTTCGAAAAAAATATTGGGATACAATTTATATCACATAAATCTTTCAAAATATCCTTAAAATAATTCTAC